CAGACAGAAGGCAAAAATATAATTTTTTCAGCTACTTCTCAACAACAACAACAACTCACCTTGTTAAGATGAATTTGACGGAAATTCTTGTTAAAGGTCAGAAAGCCACGCTCGAAGGCGGTGCAGTCGGCTTCACTCCAGGCCTCAATGTAGCCCGGAAGCTCTGTGGAAGAGGAAGCGAAGAGAGTGTGGTAACGAGTGGATACGAGCACTACGAAATCAACAACTCGCTAAAAGCCCAGACACAAGTGTGTGTGCGTGTGTGTTTCGCCAATTGTGTGTCGCCCAGCGCGGGATGATGATCTCGGCAGCGAAGTCGTCCGTCACTGTTTTCACACTGGACCCGAAGAAATTAAATCGCCGCCCGGCGAACATCGTCAACGGTGCGTGTTTACCCAAGCTCCTTGGCGTCCGTTCCGATCCGCTCTTCACGGTCGCGGACCATGCCAGGGAGGTCGTAGGCAAAGTGAGCCCCTGCACCAAGGTCCTCAAGGCTCTGGCGGGAAAATCCTGGGGCTAGGCGAATGAGATTTTGGCGGCCACATTCAAAGCGCTGGCCAAGCCGCACCAGACTTATGCGGCACCAACCTGGTCTCCTACCAGTAGCTATTCCAGCTTCCACCGCCGTCAGTCAGCACAGAACGCCGCCCTCCGCTCCGGTTTTACAAAAGGTCGCCTATCGATCATCTTCATACGGAGGCCTCTGTCCTGCCGGTCGCCCCTCACAACGCACTCTCAGGCCACCAGTTCTGGTGGACATGTTTGCAACCCGGCCATCTCTCTCACAACTATTGCCACGCTCCTGAACCCCGCCGCAGCGTTTGCCCGTCTATAAGAGCTCTCCACAAGGAAGTTGTCACCTCATGTACCTCGAATCTACCCGTTGATGGCTATGGCATCAAGAAAGGCTCCCAGCGTCCTCACCAGAAAGTCGTTGACGACACAAAACTCAGTCACCAGCCCACGGTCCATTTGGGCGGCCTCGGAACAACAACTCTCAAGGGTCCTTCACTGTACCTTGGCTCAACTACGCAGTGGCTACTCAATGCTCCTCCACCAGTACCAA